GTCACTTACTCACTTACTTGTATTCTACTCATTCAACACTACATTAAATCATTTATAACAATCTGGCCTTTCACGCCTTATCATATCCACTAGCTTATATATGTTGGGATACGTTCTTTCGCCTATTATCTGGCCGGACCACATCGTATCCCACAATACCATTCATCGCATTTTTTGTTGATTACATGCATGATTTGGGAGCCAGACTTGTCAAGCCTGACAAGAGGGGGCGTAAAAAAGTGTTAAGTCAACTTTGTATCCGTTTGAAAAGCGCAGTGACATCAAGGCTATATACGAGATTTTTGCAAACTTGTAGGTGCGCACTAGTCTTTTGCGTATTCTTCTTCTTTTTTCTTCTTACAGCTGATGTTTGCAGATTCTTAGTAGTATGAACCAGCTTTTATACTTATAAATCCCCGATTTTTTCCAAAACGATCTTTCTTGTATTAAATGCTAACTTTCCGTGCTTCATGCGTGCGTGTCATATTATATATACTGAGTCTGCATACCCATTAACTTTAAGTCCGGATTGTGACCGACGAGCCTACCAAATAACTGAGCTCTTCCCCAGGCAATTGCTTCATCAAATCTACCCAACAAAGTAACTTACCTTTCCTGCATTAAATGTCATCAAGTCGGCCCTTTAAATAATACAACGGATGTGTTCAAAGTTTGATGAAATGACTTGAGGTGGTAGATAGAGAAGATAAAGAACCATATATGCATATTGATCTTCTTGTAACTCATTTATACTGGTCTTCTGGGGGGTAAGAAATTGTGACCATTCCATCCATTGGCTAACACTGTGCAGTGAGGCGCCTTTTTGCGAATACTTTGAATAACTTAATTAATCAGTCACTTACCTAAGTTAGGTTTAGAAAGGCACAATGAGTGCCTTCGGATAGCCAAGTACCACCTAGTCACAAGAGTGGATTGGAGGAGGTCTCTACAGTCCTTCCACCAATAGTATGAACTGAAACACTCTTGCAGCTAGTAATAAAATGAAGCTCGAGATCAAACAGACAGTAAAGTCGGTTCTGAGAGACAAGAAAGTTGTGCGTCAGCTCAAGGCTGGCGGAATACCGAGAATTGATGCAGATGCGTGAGTGACTGCCCGCTGGCGCACGGCGACCAATCACAGCTCGATATCGGCAAAATTCGAATGGACTACGTTCCTATTGGTGCTCACCAATGCAAAAGGGACCAGAACAGGTACCCTTTTGCAGCAGGCGTAAGCTGCAAAACGTAGGCGGAATTCTTGCAGCATAAACATCAGTGGAACCCAAATTACCCATGCATTCCAATACACTGAATTGGCATGCGTTCACATTATTAAACGTTAGCGAAGAATCTAAGCAATCAAAGAAAACCTCATTCTGGCGCCCACAGCGCCAACTTTCAGTTTTTATGATATGATGTCAGGTTTCGAATAGTTTTTGATAATAAAATCACCGAACGCCTCAAAATAGGAGTAGCTTACTCGAAAGTCTGTATTGGGGGAAAAGTGGGGGTGTTGTTAAATTTATATTCACACTAACCTGCAGACGTGGATCAATCGTGAAACTGCCAGCGGTGGGATTCATGCATGCTAGATACTGTGTATTAACGATGTCTTTCAGAGACAATTTCGTCCTATCGTACCAATGTGAATGGTCAATGTGTTGCCGCATGAGAGCGTGCGGTTGAACCGTGAAGTACTTGTCCACCTCAGGCATGTTGAGGTCATCGATGAAGTAGATTAGGCGTTTCGTTCCTGGTGGTCCAAAAGTTCTGCCCGCCTTCTTCTCTAGATGCTTTTCTAGACTGCGTTGAAGCATTTCGCTGTTGGTATAGAAGTTGAAGGGCACATTGACTACAATAAAGTCCTCACCCATGTTATTGAGCTTGTTCCGTACCACCACCGACTTTCCTGTTCCGGCTGCACCAACAAGCATAACAGGGCGGCGAGCAGCCACCAGAAGGTCCATAAAGTACTGCAAACGTGTTGTTTCCACCGTGGGTACTAACACCGACTGAAAGGAATACATCACACATAGAGTACGGCGTTTTATACTATGAGATGCCTACTTATTCGATTTAGGTAGGTATGTTTTTCTTAAGGTTACTCTTGTGATCAAGCTCACCGAAATGTTTACAGTTAGGAGTGAGGTTTGGGCTTGGTTTAAGGCTATGCTTTGTTTAAACATAAGGGTTAGGGAAAAGATTAATGCGAAAGATAAGTTCCTCCATCGCACGCCATCAAACCCAATTCGGACTTTTTAACGAATAGCTTTAGATCGTTTTCTGCCTGTTCACACGTTCCTATTTTAAATTTCTCAAATTGTGAGGTCGGTTTTGGCAGCTCGCTGGAGTAATAGACCAAAAACATGGTGAAAATGCTGATTACCGAATTACGGGAGGCCATATGCTCCATTTTTTCAGTGGGCTGGCATAGTCACTCCTCACCAAATAAGGCTTTGCAATGGAAGCGGGTGAGATTTAATAATTCCGACACCAACCTTCAGTGACTTGTAAGAATATCAAGAAATGAAATAAAGTAGAAATCAGAGTAGTGAGTTTCGGAATATTGCAAATGGTCAAAACTACCCTCGGAAGTACACAATAAAGAAACAAATAATGTACTCGTCACTGTTTGTGTAAACGTATCAAATCCTGACAACAATGCATAGCGTTTAATGTAGCAAGCAAATAGAACAGGTAAAGTAGCCTTGCGGCTAACGGGGAACTATTATTGG